ACTATGACATTTATAAATGTATGAATCATATGGTGAAAAACTGACTTTGAAAAATAAATCTGTTCTTTTTTTCTTATAAAAGTCTAAATAAAACAAAAATATTGGTGGTAATTTTGACTGTGTAACTTTATAAACAGCAGCCCATAGATATGACACTGTAACATGATATTACGCACAAAAAAGTTGGTTTTGCATACCCCACCCCAAGGAAATAAGCATGCCAGATGTTTTTACTTGGTTTTCAGTTAATATGCAAAGCCAGTCTAAATCCCTGAGAATTTCTGTAATTTATCATTAATTTTCCACACAGGACATGTGTTTTTTAAAATAACTAACTCTTTTAAAATGTTTCTTGTTTAAATCTCAGTATAGCTGTAGCTGTTTGTCTTTTATTATAACTAAATTGTTTGATCAACTGTTAAATAGATGACTTAATGACCAAATTTAAAGCAATATTACTCTTTCACTTACACAAAAATAGAACATTCTGTATGTTTTACATCGTTTTCTTTTTTCTAGAACAAATCTCCTGATAGCTTTTTAAGCAACGTTTTAAAAGGCCAGTTTGTTTTCTTTGTGTTGCGTGTATGTTGTTCTGCAGTGCATGTGAGATTACCATGTGATCATGTGACAACGTTGTGTCTGCTGATGCAGCATGTTGTTGATACGATGCAGATGAAAGGATGTTTCAGCAGCTGAACATTAGTGCTTCACAGTCAATAACAGCAGCCTGTATTCTCCTGCTTACTGCATCCAATCAATGAGCTGTTTTTATCACATCAATACACATTTCCACCAGTACTTACATCCTGTGCACCATTAACAGAGTAATCCCCTGCAAAGGCCATCATCTGATACAGTCACCAATATATTCAGTCACACAGCATCATCTGGTGAACCTGTTCAGGGGCAGCTCTAACAAGTGGCACAGAGTTGCAGCTGCACTGGAAAAAATGTTTTCACACCCAGTTTATCAGACACTTTTTGTCCATTTTGTACATTTCTGTACAAAACTTTCATTTCTATCCTAACTTGGTGATCTAGATTTGGTGCACAGCGTCATATAAGACTGATGCATTATTATTAATCTCTGAAAACATAACCTTGTAATATCTATTAAAATGTTGTTGAAAAGCTATTAGGAAGCCATATGTAGTCTCTGAAATATATAARAAATAAAAACCTGCTGACAGGATCATTGTTAGCTGGGAGGGRAAACAGTAAAGTGATGTTCACTGACTTCTCCTCAGCCTGATGTTTTTCCTTCAGCAGGATCTTCATCTGCTCCTCGATGTGCTCCACATCTTCCTCTGCTGACCCATCATCACTCTTCTCTTGACCTTTGACCCCCAGCAGCWGTAACCTTCGCTGTTTCTCTTGGGAAAGCTCCTGAAAACAAAAGCAGAGGAGAAATTCAGATTAATTTATCTGATCAAAAGTTTTAAATGCAGGAGTTTCAGTTGATTTCATTCATTGTACACATTGTTTTGTCTCATGAGGATTTTTCTGTCTCTATTAGGAAAATATCTCCAAAAAACACTGAACAGATTTTAATGACATTTTTAGGAACTAATCATTAGATGTGGTTGTGCAGCACATAAGTAACTGTCCAAAAAACTACTTCTATTCTACTGTTAAAATATTTCATATCTCATCCAGCTTTCTCAGTTTAAAAACTGAAGAGTGTGACGTGCATGAGCTGCTCTGGATTTAACGTGGAGGAGGGGATTAATCTCACYGTTTCCACTGAACAGGGTCTTTTCCTGACCTGTGACAGGGATGTTTTGTCACACGAAGGTGTGAATTAGTGGGAAAATGAGGCTTAATTACATATTGTAAGTAAGCAAGCAAGCAAGGTTTTATTTATA